GGGTTACTCTTGAAGTCCTGCACCCAGAGCTGCCTTCCCAGGGGTCTGGGCCACAGCATTATTCATAATGAAATGGAAGAACATTCCAGTGATTCTCTTTAAGGCCTCCTTTTATCCATTCCCCTGCCCACCCACCATCACCTCCTCTCATGGGACAGAGGGCTTCTGTCTGTTGCCAGAAGCGATGCCTGAATGCTGTTGCTGCCTGCTAACGTGGGTCGCGTGCTCACAGAAACGGTCAGAGTGGCCCGAATCGAGGAAGTAAAATGTTTGCCTCCACTCACCCGTCACACACCCAAAAGATACCCACGGGTTAGTCTGGTGTCTCTTACTCCAGGTTTTGTTGTTGTGGGGTTTTCTTCTTTTCCTAGCAAATAGAGATTGTTAGTATTTTAGTTATTTTAATTGTTTTTCTTCTAGAAAACAGGATCACGCTAATGTACTGTTTTACAAGTCCCTTTTTTCACTCTATTGTATATCCTAAGCATCTCTATGTCTGTAGGTACAGATCTATAAATTAGTATTGTACTTTATAGTATTTAACCAACTGAATCCTACTTTTTCTCCCTACATGCTTCTCTTATGAAACTGGTAGGAGAAAATAAGGCAAGTTAGAGGGTCAGGAGGGGAGGGTGTGCTCTGTGTTCGTTATTCCACTCAGTCCTTGGAATGATTTGGACAAGTGCATTATTTTTTGTCCTCATGGTACAGATGAGGATACTGAGGCACAAACAGGGTAAGTGGCTTGTCCCAGGGTCACAGTCTGATTAAGGGGCAGGATTTGAATCCATGTCTCTGACCCTGAAGTGCACATTCTGTCCACGTGTTTCCAGCTCAAGGGGGTGGGGTAGGACGGTCGAGAGGGAGGGGTGTGGGCTCTGGACTCCCACAGACGTGCACTGGGGCTTCAACCATCACGGCGATGCCGTGCCAATGCCCTGTTCATGGGGTTTCAGGCATCTCTGCCGCCCAGGACCATCTCCAGCCAATACTTCAGTATATCTTTCCACGAAAATGTGCCTTCTCCGGCTTTAAGTCCAAGCTGCCCCAGGCTGGCAACCTAGATGAACGTGTCCAGTCACGGCTTTGGGAACCGGTTGCACTGGGGTGCGTGGGGGTCTGTTTTGGGAGGGATGGAAATAAGTGAAATGTCAGCCTGTGATCCATCAACCTCCTTGTGGCCCTGTGGTACTCCGCCTTCCTCGGGGCGGAGAGGATTCTAGTGTTGGGATACATGACTTATTTTAATAGTAATAGAAACAGCGGCCACCATTTCTTAACCCCTCACCATATGCTAAGCAATTTATATGTATTTGACTTATCTAGTCTCTTAAAAAATCTCAGGGACGGGATTCACTGTTGTCCTATTCACTTTACAGATGTGGGACTTAGAGCTGGGACTGAGAAAGGATGCGTCACTTAGCCCGGGGCACGCAGCTAGGAAGCCACAGGGCCGGGATCCGCACCCTGGTGTGGGACCCTGGCTCCATGCTTGTAACCACCAGGCTGTGGCGCCCCCTCTCCATGGCTGGGATGACTGGCCTGTGACACTTCCTGCTAGTCTGGGGAGTGGCACAAAACACCTCGGCCAGAGAGGCCCTTCTGGCCCCTTGCGCTCCCAGAGGGAGACGCTAGAGGTGGATGGGAATCTCCTCCCTCCTTGCCTGGACGCAGAGATCCCAGTGAGGGGGGCCCTGGTGGTCCCTGACTCCACCCTCTCTTACTAGATTTGGGGAAACTGAGGCCCAGTGGAGAAATAGAGGCAGGCAGGATCAAGGAACCAGCTGGTTGCCTGGCCCTGGGGTCACTTCCTCCCTAGTGGGTCCTCCTTTGCATGGGACGCGCATCCTTCCCTCTGCTTCTGTGACTGGTTTCCTGTCGCTTTATGTCACAGCCCGCTCTCCCTGCCCGCACTCCCTTCACTCGTCCAGCCTGTCCCCCACGATAGCCTGGCAGCACCGCCCAGCCCCGCCTGTCACCTAGGGCCCCGTCTGTCACCTGGGGTCACAGCGCCGCCGTGTGAGAGCATTTGCCGTAGCTGCTGTTCCGTCAGCACAACGTGCGGCCATCCATGCGGCCGTGCGGCTGTTCCCACCTCGGGCTCTGTGCCGGGGCCACCGCACACTGTCCCAGGGTCCAGTGAGTGGAAAGGAAAGAGAGATGGTGATGGGCGCCGAGGCCCAGACCTCAAGTGCAGATGCTGAACCCTGAGCCATGGCAGACGTACCACGGGGCAGTTAGAGTCGTGGGGCCCCTGTGGCGTGCCTCTCGAGGTCCCTGTGGTCAGAGGCCTGCACAGGCGGCA